CCCCATTCCCACTCCACTCCAGAGGAAGGATACTGCAAAATCCCCATTCCCTCCCCACTCCTGGGAGAAGGATATTGCAAAATGTCCATTCCCACCTCACTCTGGGGCCAGCTAGAGGTGGTATTTGCCAGTTCTCTGAACTACTCAAAATTTCCACTACCCGTTCTCCAGAACATGTCAGAACCTGCTATATTTCACCCCTGATTGAAGTCTCAAATACTTTTTATCAGTTTGAGGACCAGGATACTGAACTATAATTGGTTTCCTAAAGGGTGAGTGCCAAGGAATTGAGGCCCTTGAACTATGGTGCTGAAGAAGACTCCTGCAGGTCCCTTGGACTGCAAGACGATCAAGCCGGTCAGTCCTAGAGGAAATCAACCCTGACTGCTCTTTAGAAGGCCAGATCCTGAAGATGAAACTTAAACACTTTGGCCACCTAATGAGAAGGAAGGAGTCATTGGAGCCTAATGCTGGGGAAGATTGAGGGCAAAAGAAGGGGACGACAGAGAATGAGGTGGCTGGATGGAGTCACCGAAGCAGTAGCCGTGAGCTTAAATGGACTCCAGAGGAAGGTAGAAAACACAGGGTCATGATGACTCAGACATGACTCTGCAACTAACAACAACAAATGTTGATATATAAGCCAAGAATATCTGTATCAATATTTAGTGTTAGGCATAAAAGAGCCAATTTCATGTAGTGGTTAAGGCATCAAGCTAGAAATTTGGAAAGACCATGAGTAATAGTCCTGCCTTGGACACAAAGCCAACTGAGTGACTTGGAACCAGTCACTCTCTCTCAGGCCTAGGAAAGAGACAATGGTGAACCATTTCCGAAATCTTGCCAAGGAAACTTGAGGGAGATATCCAGCCAGTCTCCAGGAGTGAAGGCAGTGTTGGCACTAAAAATGAAATGAAATAAAGTTCTATAATTCAGCAACCTTTTCAAAATCATTTGCTAACCAAAGTTACTACTCTCAAAATATCTGTCATATAAATTACAAGCTTCAACCAGTGCTCATGGATCAGAGGTTAAATTTATAGGAATTAAAATCCTGCCCTTAAACAGTATGTTTATATTAACGAACATGTATTAGTTGTTCCTTTTATCTAATAAGCACGGCTATATTTAGTGAATTAGATTTCATTTTTAAAGAAAGAGCTTGTTCTCCTTTTTGCCCACCAGTAAGATCTATAATTACAATAAAGATGCATTCAGTGCAAAAGTATCTATGCAACATTTAAATAAATGACTTGTGGGTTAATACAAATTTGCAGAAACTGCATGTGAAAAATTTATCTCTCATTAGGCAAAACCATTTTGGATATAAGATTTTATCAATACTGAAGGGCAAAACAGGAAATATAAATCAACACAGAGATGAAAAATTGATTGATGATATTGTCCTAATTCCAAAACATTCTGCATTTGAGAAAGCAATAACTATTTAGTGTTGATTAAAAACGGATACCTTTGCTATCTTTAATATTCAAAGATAGTTTCTGTTAGATATTCACCCTAGGGACAGTGGTTTCCACATAGGTCCTCTGCTCCGGCGGGAACAGAGGTTGAATCCTATTGGTCGAAAGATCTGACAGCCCCCTTTAAAAGGGCTGCTGTCCGACTCAGCCTCGCCGGATGTTTCCCATTTGCAATAAAGAGCTGTTGTTACTGTAGCCTGTGTGTGCCTATCCTTTACCCGATCTAACAGTTTCATTAAAGAAATAGGGAGAATTCACTGTCTCAGTTAGGATATATGTAATTTTGTAATGGTTTGAAGTTCATCATGTGCAGTGCTTCATCATTGTTCAAGTGGTGAATTTTGAACATAGGGGGCTTTTTTTGCATATGTTGCTAAATAACATTCTTGGGGATCCCCCTAGTGGCTAAAGTAGAAAGATAAAAATGTGTGGTTTCACAGAGTACAATCTATTGTTTTACATAAAAAGTAAACAAAATGCTTGACTCATTTATGACATTAGCTTCAGAGACTGTTTACAAAGTTTTATCCTAACAATTTATATATAGTTTTGCTAGTTTGTGCATGAGGTTCAGAATTAATTACTAATCAGAAACATCTGCCTTTCATATTTGTTAATTTTGGTTATTACAAGTAAGATGCACAGAAACCATATATATATGCAGAATATGTAGAGAGATGAAATGGTAATTTACAGAGATCTTTACTACAGACATGCAAAAACACAGCAAGAAATGAATTATATTGCAACAGTAGCCAACATCCCCCCAAACCCCTCCTCCTATAAAGAGGTTATATTTATACCTTTTGCAGTTCCAAGAGGTGTGTAGAATAAAATATCCTAGACCAGGGATGCACAACCTTGGCAACTTTAAAACTTGTGGACTTCAACTTTCAGAATTCTTCAGCCAGCATGGTTAGAAGTTGAAGTGCACAAATATTAACAGCTGCCAAGGTTGGACATCCCGGCCCTAGAGTGACTCATAAAGGAACTCACCTAGACAATAAGATAGACGGTTATCTAGATTTGATAAATAAATACTAAATATATAAATAAACTCTTTTCCTGGGGAAAAATGGGAAGCTATAGAAAAAGTTTAATATCTTATATAACAAAAAAAATATATTAGGGACTGAGAAAGTAAGAAGGTTATTGACATTCTTGTCAGGAAAACTGCAGGCAGGAGTCGCCAGGAGTCAACACTGGAGTCAACACTGCCTTGCAAGCACACATACCCAAATGTTTGTAACAGTTTAAAAAGTTCTGTTTTTCATCTTTCTAAAAATCTATTTTTCTACAAATCTTTTACCTAAAGACACAAAAGAATTATTTTTTGTAAAATATTCATGTTTATAGGCACAACTAAAAACATAACATGCCAAAATAAACATATCGCTGTAGGTATAAAAGGAGTGGACATACATCATATCATAAACAACTATAATGTAAATTTTATTTAAAAAATCCTTCTCTCTGCTTTTCTTTAAGGCCTAGGCAATATAAGGTAATTCAAGATAAAATAGAGATATTTTGGCTGTATATGATGTATGAATACAGTTTGACGCTGGTTATGATTAAATTAATCCCTTCTGCATACACAAAAAATGTATATACGTATTTAGGCAGAACTTTCCCTGCAAAAAAAAAAAGGCAGTTTGGCAACAAGTGTGAGATTTCCATTACAAAGGATATAGGATTGTTGGCAACGAAGGATGTCATGTCTCATGTTGTTTTTCCGTCCATAATGGCAAATTCGGTGTGTATCTGTTCCTTTCTTTCATTTTCCCAACTCTAGGAAGGAACACTTTTGCTCAATAACATAATGCAAAGAAGAGATGAAAATAATAGTTTAGCCCAAATGATAGAAGCATCAAGAAGTTTTTATGGATGTGGAAGCAATCATCCTATTGATGTCGTGCGGGTAGTCCTTGTTTGGCAGCTGCCTTGTTTAGTGACTATCCACAATGGTAATGAAAAAATATCTTTGCGAACACTCCTCGCATTCCTCATCTTCACAGATCTATAAATCAAAGGAAAGCTAAAGTGAGATCATAAGAACGGTTGTGACTTCACTTAGCCACCACTTTGCTCAATGACCACGTTGCTGGTTCCAACTGTAGTCACTAAATGAGGACTACCAATATTCCATATATCCATATGATTGCAGAGAATGGCTTCCATGGTGATTCCAGATTGGTTCAGAAACAGTGACAATGGAAAGGAAAAATAAGCAAAGCAGGTACAGTAGAAAGCTATATTTTCTGCATCCTCTCCTGTGGACCACTGTATTAGCAGCAGGGTAGGCAACGTTTTTATTTCAGAAAGAATAAAGAATAAAGAAAGGAGCTAAATCAGGGGGCATGTGGGGGCATGTATGTATAAGTGTGATCCCGACCCGCACCAGCCTGGGAGACCCATATCTGGGCCCTTAAATCTCATATACCTCTGCACTGGAGTTTCAGCTATTTGGCTATTTGGGCAAACAACTCTCAAATTCCATAACCTGTTCTTTTGATCTCCTGCTGCTTCTTAGAAAATCAGTCTCCTTAGTCCAGTGATGGCAAACCTATAGCACGCGTGCCACAGGTGGCACACATGCCATACCTGCTGGCACGCGAGCCGTCAGCTCCAATAAGCAGGAACATACCAGTCAGCTGATTTTTGGCCTTTCAGAGGGCATGGGAACGCTGTTTTGGCCCTCTCCAGGCTTCAGGAAAGCCTCCGGAGCCAAAGGAGGGCAAAACACGGCGCCAATGGGCCTACTGGAAATTCAGAAAAGATCCATTTCTGGCTTCTAGAAGGCCTCCGGGGGGGTGGGGTGGAGGAGAGGCCATTTTCACCCTCCCCAGGCTCCGGAGGCTCTCCTGGAGTCTGGGGAGGGAGGAAATAGCCTCCCCCAACCTTCCAGAGGAAATACCAAGCTCAGCTTGGAGGCGAACAATGCGGCGCATGATGGGAGTGGGGGGGGGGTAGTGCGCACATGCACATGTGGGGGCATGCTATGCATTATGGGTGCCAGCACACACATGCACATTCTCCTGCATGTGTGCTCACATTTTTGGCACCCAACAACAAAAAGGTTAGCCATCACTGCCTTAGTACATTTCACCATGAATAAAATATCTTTTACCTTTTGTCGCATTTAAAATTACAATTCAGAAGCAACTTTTGGAGGATTTTGAGCGTTGAACTCAAAGCTTCGAGGGTTGCCCATGGCTGTAAGAACTCAAGTTATTGCTCTTCAAAGCACTAACAATTCAACTGCTTTTGATAATGGCAGTGAAACAGCTACTGATAGTTGTTTGCCCCATAAGTGCTTTTGGTTACCAGAAAGAAAGATTTGCCTATTTTTTGCATGTTCATTCATTTGTTCTCTGTGAAACCAGTTATTTGATTATATTCCTTTACCATAGGGACAAGGGGCTGGCTATTTCTATCACCATCCCTGCTGCAAGATCCAGAAGCAAAGCAAATTTGAGTGAAGCAAGAACAGCCTCCTTCATAAGAGAAAAAGGAGAAAACAATTATGGTTTAATTATCCTGTGCAACTGCAGCATTGCAAATCATGGCTACTGAAAAAGAGGGTCATCAGGTAAGACAATTAAATATTTTTTTCTGTCTTCAAGTTAGTATTGACTCCAGGCAAGTGCCTATTCACATTCCTGCAATTTTCTTAGTAAGGTTTTACAGAAGTGCATTGCCTTTGCCTCCTTCCTAGGGCTGAGAGGAAGTGACTGACTCAAGGTTACCCAGCTGACTTTGTTTCTAAGGCAGGACTAGAACCCGTGGTCTCCTGGCTTCTAGCTTGATGCTTTAACCACTACTGGCTCTCTAGTTTAAATATACAGAATTTAATTTGATTTTTTTTTTAGCAATAGCCTTTTGGGGAAGGGGCAAGGACTGACTAAAGCAGCATTGTGGGTCACAACAAAAGTTGCATTTTTTTTTCTATATGCCTCACAACATTTCATGCACACCCTGAAGGCACATAACATGTAGTGAGGCCATGACTCTGCTTTCATCATTACAATAAAAGTAAAAAAACCTCGCAGATGTATATAGATTCTTATTCTTATATTTAAGAAACATGACGAACATCTCATCATGTTAACAATTTTAATGAATTTATCAACCTGGCTTCATAGTTAACCTTTTTACAACTATTCATAACATCTCTATTTCTATTCTAGCTATGTGTTTGCTAAGAGCCTAAAATGAGTTGATCATACATAATCAATCAATCACTAAATTGTTGCATTTTGCTACACAAATGTAGCGATATTTAATGCTATTGTGCAGTCAAAAGTAATAAAAGATACTAGACATGGAATACAGTCAACCTTTTGTGATAGCGCTTTAAGTGTGGAATTATGTAATGAAAGCAGCAGTCTTCACAGGCATTACTCTGTAAATGATACATGACCTATACTTCAGTATTATCTGTGATGGCGAGGGACTAATTTTATTTATTTGTTTGTTGTTTATTAAATTTTTATACCTAATTCTTATCCAATGGCATTATATAATAATGCTGAAGTCTCAGTGGATACCTGACCAATCTCTAAAAACAGTGACCTGGACTAGTAAATATGGCCAGTTACTTAATGTCCATTCATGTTTTGTCTCCAAATGCTTTTCTGAAATAAATTTGTTAATTTCTGATTTGGGGTCCTCCCCAAATGCTTTGGATACTTAGTTGATACATCTGGATTTCAACACACCACCTCTTATGGTTCTGCTGTACTTTGAATTGAATTCAAAACAAAGATCTTTTGCTTTACCTGAGACAGCTGACATCCTGAGATGATACCTTTAATACCATCCAACAATAACATCTGCCTATCCCACGTCTTTGGAAAGGACTCAATAGCTGGATAAAAATGTCAAATCCAGTCTGAATATCAGGCTGATGTTTTATGGACATCAGTCAACTAAAGTTTACTACAACAGTCAACTATCTTAAAATTAGTGAACATTTATAGCAGTGGCAGCTACTAAATCTATTCAGCACATTTCTGTAAGCATTTCTATCTTGTTTTTGTAGCAGGCTTTGAGATTGCAATTTCCAAACCTGCTATTGTGAATCACCTGTATGACAAGTTTATCTGAAAAAATAGGTACATGCTAACTAAAAATAGTAGCCTCTCAGATGTAGACATCAGACTTAGAAAAACCACCCATTCTGATTAAAAAAATTATGTAGGACAAGGGATAAAATGGCAGCATGTGTATAGTCATGTTAACTAAATCCATTGGCTTAGAATATTATGAGAATACAGCCACATTCTCTCAGTTTGTTCCTCTTTGGATATTTTCTAGTATCAAGGAAAAATCCTAAAACCACAGGTTTAGACCAATGGTGCTGAAACAAATCTATCATGAGAAATACTACATAATTAACAGGGTTTTTTTTGTTGCTTGTTTGGTAACCACTATCCAGAATCCTTAATGGGTTTACATTGTAATTTTGATGAAGCTGTAATGTTCAAATGTCATGCAACATTCAGAGTAATGCATTTACACCAGATAGATAAGATATTAATGTTTTAATAAGCTACATTAAAAACCAAAGTTGGAACAGTGACTGGAAAATGAAGTAAGATATATGGGTAGTGACGTATGAGATATAATTTAAACTAAGGCCTTCAGATTGTTTGAGATGCTTCAAGAAAGTCAAATTTAGATTTCCAGTTTTCAATATTAAGGTAATATAATGTGATTAAATACAAGACATAACAACAAGCATTATAACAAGCAATTTCTATTTAAAATCTCTTGTTTTTTATTCTCCTATTTGTCATTCTTAATAAATGAACTTTTACACAATTTAAATAATTGTTTGAAAGAACATTTGTAGTTGGGTTATTTTAAAAAGTGGTTCATAGTGGTTTATATTGTCCTGGATAGTTAAAGTTCATTTAATAGAAAATAATGCAAATGAATAGAAAGCAAACACAAATAACCTCAATAAATATGGGGCAATGTAATTGCGCCATGGAATTAAATGCAATAACCTACTAACTGTTGTAAACTAGTCTAACAAGCTGGCATCAACTGGAAAACAGAACAACTTACACAGCCTACATGTGAGAACATGACTCAACCTAAGCAGACCCAACCATGACCTCAATCAGTCTTCATGTGATTTGCTCATTATAATTTTGAAATAGGCATTTGGCAGTACCAATCAGGTAAATGGTAAATAAAAATGTTAATAAAGCCAATTATTTTCATTTAATTTCCAGCTGGCGTTCAGGAGAGACCTAACTTTTCTTCCTGCTTTAAGCGATTCTACTACTTTAACCTATCTCAAAGCTTCCTTGTTTTATTTAGTTCCTTTAAATTTATTCTATGTTCTTTATGGTCTTTAAGGCTTCCATTTTGAATGGACTAGCTTTTGAAAATCAGTACCAAAAGTTCATATGGGCTGAAACCAGCTAGGTCTCTTTATTAGAGTTACAGAGAAGTATTACAGAATTACTCTTTCAAATTGTTCTGGGCACAGGATATAAAACTAATTTCTAATTGGAAAAATACGGGATTTTAAATTTAGCCAACCTTGTTTTTTCAATGTTTTTTCAAACTTTCTAACAAATATCCAAGATAGGTGAAAAATGAAATCAGCCTTAAATGTTGCCCTTTTCAGAACTCTCAGCCTGAACAATCCCATGTTTTGTTAGTTGTCCATGAAGGAATTAATTTGGCCCAAATTGTTTGATTGTAGCTTGCAGAATGGGAGGTCAATGACAGTTAGCTCCTAAACCCTAAATGAAACAAGAATCCCTCTGGCATTCCAGTACAGGTACCAAGCCTGAACTCCATTCTCCCATCACATTTCAAAAGCTCCATGTGAAGAGCAGCTATTTTCCAAACTAATGTTTACTACATTCCCTTGCCCTTTTTTGGAAACTCTGTACTCTGGATCTTGAGAGAAGACTATTCATTCTCACTTAAAATTCTGCAAGCAGTCAGTGGGCCATCATTTGGCTGGGCTCCCTCGGTGGTGATGGACAAGCAGAATATTTTCTGATGCTCCTGAAGAATTGAGGAGAGCAAGGATCAAGACCAGCCAAGCCCTCACAGATAGCCTTAGCTATCTATTTCACTAGGGAAAAATGTGGGCATGATTCTCTTTTAAAAATATTTTATGTTTGCTTACCTAGGTGTGGAGTAAAAATATCCCAATGCAAATACTGTAAACCCACTTGGCCTCGTCGTTTCTAAGAGCAGCAACTCAATGCCTTATACAAAAGGTTGCTATTTGACTATTGTTGCTTTAGCACAACAATGTGCCTTAGATCCTGAACTCTACCGCACAAAAGAAGTATATGGAAGTGTAGGTCACCTGATTAAATGTCAAAAGAGTGAGGAAACTGAAAATAGAGAGGATGTAGAAGTTGGACAATTACAGAATACAGAACTAGAGACATTTATATAATCGGTGAAAATTAATGTCTGTGGCCTTATGCAAACATGCCTGGTTTGGAGATTTTAACATTATCTTTCCCTCTTTTTTCCTCTCAAGAACTAGTTTTTTTTTTCTATTATACTTCCCTTCAGATTTCACTTGCATATATTTTTCCTTCTCAGACCTGTTTGTTCCAGTTTTTCAGTTATCAGACGCAGCCTCTGAATTTTTAAATTCTTCCACATTTGGTCTTATTCAAGTTCCTTCCCTCACCTTCTTCCTTGTTCTTCTCAGCAGCATCCCATTTTTCTCTTATTGGATCTTAGCCCAGCCTTTCCTTTTTGATGATTTAACATTTGCTTTATATACACAGGGGTTGTATTTTTGTGAGCGCCCCCAATGCTGCGGCATTCCTTTCCTTTGTAATTCAGTTACTGAAGAGTTTGTGAAAATGCCTTAGAAAAGCTCATCACAGATTGTCACCCAGGGAAACGATGGTGGGAGTCACATTTTTTTTACTATCGGTTCTGTGGATGTGGCTTGATGGGCTTGGCGTGGCTTGGTGGGCGTGGCTTGGTGGGCGTGGCTTGGTGGGCATCGCAGGGGAAGGATACTGTAAAATCTCCATTCCCTCCCCAGTCCAGGGGAAGGTTACTGCAAATTCCCATTTCCTCCCGGTCAGCTGGGACTCGACAGACAGAGAATAGATGGGGTTGGGTCAGTCAGAGGTGGTATTTACCGGTTCTCCGAACCACTCAAAATTTCCACTACCAGTTCTCCAGAACTGGTCAGAACCTGCTGAATACCACCTCTGCAGAGAACATGTCCATCAAGTCAGACTCAGTTCAAGGGAAACTCAACTTTAGATTGAGAGCCTTACTGGTAACAAGCACAAAGCTGAATGTTTCCTGGAAGAACTGCTTTGTCATTGTGGATCCAGGGAGATATTGTGGTTTGCAGAACTCTTTATAGTCTTGGCTGATTTCACAACAATGACTGCTTCTAAATAGCATTGTAAAAAAAAATAAGTGTTATACTACAGGTGGTTCTTGACGTATGATCACAGTGGAGCCCCAAATTTCTGTGGACAAGCAAGACAGTTGTTAACGGAGTTTTGCCCAATTTTACAAACTTTCTTGGCATAATCGTTAAGTGAATCTGTGCAGTTGTTAAGGTAGTAACAC